GAAAATGGAAAAAGGACAGGCTGCATATCTCTCTTCAAATGTTTAAAGACTCGCTTACATCTTACTAGACTGCTGCTAAGTCTGCGAAAGCTGCATACTTTCCTAATCTAATTTAAAACGAATCACTCTAAACCAGGGGTGTCAAACTCAGTTCCTGGAGGGCCGCAGCCCTGCATAGTTTAGTTCCAACCCTGCTCCAACACACATAGCATGTAGTTTTCAAATAAGCCTTAATGACTTGATTACCTGGATCAGGTGTGTTTAATTAGAGTTGCATCTAAACTGTGCAGGGCTGTGGCCCTCCAGGAACTGAGTTTGACACCCCTGCTCTAAACCTAAGGTTTTGTTTTCAATTATTCAATCTGTTGCAAATCCCTCTGTTAACATCTTGCCTGTTGCCTCTGATGCTCTCCGTGAAAGCTTCTTGAGATATTTTAGTGACAAAATTACTAACTAAAGACTTAGCGTCTGCCCCACTTTAACTTTAACGGTCTCTCCTATCAGGTCATCTGCCTCTGCCTTTTTGGATGCTTTCGAACCTATCAACCTCCAGGAACTGAAGGAGGTGATTGACAAGCTTAAACCTTCATTCTGTTCTAGCGATATCATTCACCCGAGATTTTTAAAATTAATTATCGATTCGATTGGGCCAGGTTTGGTGTCTCTTATTAATAAGCGTCTCCAAACTGGCTCTGTTCCTGCCAATCTTAAAGTGGCTACGGTCACTCCTCTGCTCAACAAGCCTTCACTGGATCCTTCTGTCCTAAAAAATTTTCGGCCAATTTCTGTCTTACCTTTAATTTCAAAAGTTTTGGAGAAAACTGTGCTGAATCAACTTCAACGTTTTCTGACAAGTAATTGTATTTATGAGGTTTTTCAATCTGGTTTTAAGTCTGCTCACAGCACCGAGTCTGCCCTTTTGAGAGTGTTAAATAATATTTACCTCTCTACTGACTCCGGAGACTCTGTGGTTCTTAGTCTTTTAGATTTATCGGCCACTTTTGACACCGCAGACCACTCCACACTATTATCTAGATTAGAGTCTTGGGTAGGTCTAAAAGCAAACGTTCTGAAATGGTTTCAGTCATACCTGTCTGACAGAAAGTTTTTAGTGAAGCTGGGTAATTTCACCTCTTCTCCTGCACCTCTGACCTGTGGCGTTCCACAAGGCTCTATTTTAGCTCCCTCTCTATTTTCTCTTTACATGCTACCTCTGAGCTCTATTCTAAGGAAACATGGTGTGTCTTTTCATTTCTACGCAGATGATACGCAAATATATCTACCAATCAATAGAAAAAATTCCACTGCGATTTCTTCTCTTCTGCAATGTTTAGAGGAGGTTAAATCATGGCTAGCCCAAAATTTCCTCTTCCTAAATGAAGACAAGACCGAGGTAATTGTTTTCGGTCCAAATGAGAACTCTCAGTGTATAAGCCCTGAGCTGGAAAGTTTATCAGTTTTTAGATCCTTAGTGCGGAACCTAGGTGTTCTTGTTGACCAAATAGACTTTAAAATTCTCCTCTTTGTATATAAATCCCTACAAAACCTTGCTCCTGTCTACCTCTCTGAACTTCTTCATCTTTACACTCCGTCTAGAAGCCTACGATCCTGTGACCAGGCTTTGTTGGTAGTCCCTCACGTTAGGCTTAAGCATAGAGGAGAGCGTGCATTTGCGGTGGCAGGGCCACGACTTGGGAATACCCTGCCTTTAGAGATTAGAATGGCCCCTTCTCAGTCTGTTTTTAAGTCCTTGCTAAAAACTTATTTGTTTTCCTTAGTTTATTGACTACTGTTTTTATGGTTATTTTTAAACGGGTTGCTTTTATTTTTGTTTTTTGTCTGATCTGTTTTCTGTGTATTTTTTATAGTCCTGCTCTTCTGTAAAGTACTTTGGTCAGCCTGGTGGCTGTTGTAAATGTGCTATACAAATAAAAATGAACTTGAACTTGAACAGACGTTACTCCATGCAGAGAACATATCATATTGTAATTTGCTTAACCAATTTTATCAGTTAAACTCAGGACCTGAATATCGTTTTGGAAACTGTTTCAGTCTACCATTATTCAGGTATAAAAATAAAAAAATTTTTTATAAACTGTACATTAAAAACAGATTAAAGTTACAAAAGTTGAGTGAGTGATTTTCTGTCTTTTGTCGTTTGATTAACATTAATGACAGACGGCACAGCTTTATTAGACTGTTGTCACAAGACAATGCACAGATCCAATACTGATACACATGTGTTTTCTTTCTCAACTGTTTATATTCACTTAAGACAAACCGACTGTGTTTATGAGGATACTCACCAGGACAGCCATTTTGATGTCATTTTGTCAAAGTGCATGTTTAAGTGCAACAAAATGCGAAAAATATCTCAATATTATACTCGCCAGGTGGCTTTATGTGCGCGCGCTTTGGATGTGACTGTGAGCGCACAGAAAGCCTTTGGAGCACTTGAGTACCGAATGGCTTAAAAAGACTTAAAAAAAAAAAAAAGATGTGCAAATGATACATTTTTGTGACGATGCAACAATGACCCGATTAGTCTAATGTTTCTTACTATTTTCATTGTTGAAAACGAATTAGTGGAAACCATGATACTTTTTTTCAGAATTCAAAGAAAGTTCAATATTTGACAAATATTTTTTAACATTATAAATATATTTACTGACATATTTGATCAATTTACTGTTCCAGTGTTGAATGAAAAATAATAATTAAAAAAATTATAATCTAAACTTTTGAATGGTAGTGTACATTTAGCTGATCATAGAAAGTAACACACTGTGTACATATATTATACATTTCTTTGCTCTTAACCCTGTCCCAAAACATCACAGCCCTCCATAGGGGAAATGCAGTCACAGTGGACTGTTTCTTACAATGCAGAGATATGAATGAGATGAACACTCAATGACTTTTCTAGAGTGCTGATATGAGATACCTTGTCAAACACATCACGGCTGGCCTCGGGGCACAGAGTGGGGCTCCGTCCCAGCATCCTCTCTTTATGCCTCCACTCCTGCTCTGTCTGAGAGAGCTCCGCGGAGGAGGCCAGGGCTCGGGCGCGCTCCTGTTCCACAGACTCTGAGCTGTGGAGCTCCAAACCGCAGAGCTGGTCCTGTGCCTCGACCAGCTGCCACTGCGACGCGATCGAGGCCTTCACACAGCGCTGCTGACTCAAGCACAGAGACGCCATGCTCTCCGCACTGGGCTGTGATGGGACACAGAGAGATAACGCTCACAAAACCTCGAGCAAATCATTACAGTAGGTTTTGTAACAGATTCAGTGACAGTGACATTACAAACCTATTTGCGCTGAACTTTTAAACATTGAAGGATATAAAAAATAAAAAAAAAATTACATAGATTCAAATAGAAAATAGTTATTTTAAATTGTTATAATATTTCAAAAACACAGTAAAAACAGTAATATTGTGATCAAATAATACATTTATATTATAATAATACATATATATATATATATATATACATATAATAAATGGTAACACTTTATTTTAAGGTGTCCTTGTTACACGTTACATCTATTTACTATTATAATAACAATTAATTATAAGTAATAAGTAACCCTAAGCCAAACTCTAATTCTAACCCTAACCATATAATAAGTACATGTAGTTAATTAATATTACTCAGTACTTAAATGTATAATTACACTGTAACAAGGACAACTTAAAATAAAGTGTAACCTTATAAATAATACATGTGCTCTAATAAGAGCAATATTTAGCCAGAATTTTTTTTTATTTTACACATTTACATGTCATTCTCAGGCTTGGATATCATTATTTTAAAATTCACATACATTTTAAGAGATTGGTGGTGGATTTGTTGACCTTTAAAAACAACCGATAAACCTGGATCCATTTCTAAACACCTCAATATATATATATATATATATATTAAACACCCACACCATATATGTATGGTGATATAACGTTCCAGCAAGTCCGCTTGACCAGCTAGCAAAGAAGCATGTCAAAATTATAAAGTAAAATAAAATTTTCTTAACAAAGTTATAAAATGTGTTGTAAAAAATGAGTACACCTTCCTAAAAGTTACTAAATAAAACTAAATAAAAATTTTCTGGTGCAAGTGAAAGGTAATTTTTGATTAACATACGTATGTTGAACTAAAACTTTTAAGGAGGAGTAATTTCTTGACAATTAAAAGTAGGGCCTCACAATAGATTATTCTCTTGAAATTCGGATTATTAATTACGATTATCACAATTTACACTGAATGTAAATGTTTATACCATTGTTACAACAAGCTGAAAACACTCAAACTGAAAAACTTTTAATGCTTTTCTATAGTATTAAGCCTCAAATGTCAAATATACATTGGATTAGTTTCTTCTTTAAATAAAAAAAAAAAAGTACAAATATGCTTGTTATTATAATGTTATATTAAAACTAAAATAATGGAAAAACCCTAAAGACAACCTGTAGAAGGAAAAAAACACATCTTAAGCACACAGAAGAATAACATAAGTGGACTTTGAATGATTAATTGCTGCTTTGAACGATTACATAATTGTGGCATTCGTAATTGTAATCGCGATTAGAAATTCGATTAAAGGGGTCATATGATGCTTTTTTAAAGATCATTATTTTGTGTATTTGGTGTAACAGAATATGTTGACATGCTTTAATGTTCAAAAAACACATTATTTTTCAAATACTGTACATTATTGTAGGTCCTCTATGCCCCGCCTCTCTCAAACGCTTCGTTTCCTACAAAGTCCCTCCTTCCGACAAGAGCAGTCTGCTCTGATTGGCCAGCTGAACCAGTGCATTGTGATTGGCCGAACACAACAAGCACGCGTCGGAAATGTAACGCCCCTTACCATAAACGCGAGCTTCATCTTTCAAAATAAATGTAAAGACAGAGCAATGTCTTTACTCTGGGGAACAGAGTCGCGTGACAGACACAGTGATGAAGCCACGGTTAAGACCGCTGACTCCACTGTGATGTGACCCTCTCTCTCGCTCTCTCTCTCACACACACGCGCGCACACACACACACACACACACACACACACACACACACACACACACACACACACACACACTTTAGTCTTTGCAAGGGATCAATAATGTTCAGGGATCTTATCTATGCACAATCAGCTTGTAACACTCCAAAGAGAAAGGAAAACTTGAAATCGCATCATATGACCCCTTTAATTGTGCAACCCTAATTAAAAGTGTTATATAACCCACTGAATCATTCTCAGACTTAATGCTAACAACAATGGAACCACTTGGGACTCATTTCTTGGCAAAAAATAGGACAATTGTACAAGAGGAATACCAAATCATTGTTTTAAGTGTGAAAATATAGCAAAAGTAACACAGAAATTCAAAAACAATGAACTTGTGACAAAGCCCCTGAAATAATCAAGCCTTCACTTTAAGCTTTCTGTGATTTTTTTTTATTTTTTATTTTTATTTTGCAAGGAAAAGAGCAGGAGCACGCAAAAGTGAAATGCATGGTCTTTGTCCACACCAAAACTACCTACTGTATCTTAACACTCTTGAGCACCTGTGGGGGATTTTGTTGAGACGGGTTCAGCAACACTACATTAAAGATCAGGGCATTTTAGGAGATTGTCCTTCATGAGTGAATCAGGATAGATGTGACAATTCGTCATGAACTTGTACACTTCGTGCCAAGAAGAGTCAGAGCAGTATGATTAAAGTTATAGAGGGCATACTAAGTATTATTTGAACTTAATCAGGGGTGTACTCATTTCTACAACCCTTCACTTAAAACTGGTGATTGTAGCAAAATACATTTACAAAAATTATATTTTTATATAATTAGAAAGCATATTACATGAAAGTAAAGCGTCCACTTTAATGTTTCAAATAGCTTGTGAAAATAAAATGTCAAAATATGGGTGAAATAATGTCTCAAGATTTAAAATGACAATTAATTTGTTTTTGGAGGTGCACTGTGATCCTTAAATAGAGTCTTTTAATGATATCTTTAATGATTCTTGTTCGAAATATGATTGACAAGTAGGGCTGCAAAATTCCGGGAATTAACGGGAATATATGGGAATTAGCAAAATTGCAGGAAATCTTGCAGCATAATCAAGTTAAAACAACCAGATTGAATGCAATTTCAGTTGAATCTCTACCCTGTTGAATCTCTACCCTGCACATTCCTCAATCACATGCACACAGCACACTTACTGCAGGGCTATTGAAAACACACACATTCATCCAAAACATGCACAGATCAATTCTTGAATCCTGAACACAAAATGATGTCAAAATGTCCATCTTAACGAGTAAATTACCTAAATACCACATAAATATATGTTTAAAACTGCCTTGTGCTGTGTGCAAGCAATTGCGCAACAAAATTGTGCAATTGTAAAAACAAATACACTAACTGAGCAAACATTTAGGTGAGATAACTAAAAAAAAAAAAAAAAATAATATGTTAAATTATCACAAAAAAATGATAGTAAAGACTTATATTCTATTTTGAATTTATTTTTAAATTTTAATTTTTAAAATGTGTATTAGTTTGCATGCATGTCAGCTTATGACCAAAAAAGATGTTTATATTTATGTTTGTATATGATAGTTTCTATAAATTTCCAATGAATTCCCATAAATTCCTGTTAAATTTACAACTCGGAATATTTCCAAAATTCCCCAGAACAAGTTCCCAAGGAGTTTCCGGCCCCTACTGACAAGATTACATTTTAGTAGCAATAACGTTTCCTAACCTAACCTAAAAACAATTAGGCCAACTTATATTATAGTCATTGACATGTTGACAGTTTTTGCTCAGAAAAAAAAAATCTAATTAAAAAGGACACCTTCTAATGTACTGGGGGAAAAAATAGTTTGATAAAAATAGGTCCAAACTGTTTGAGATTTTTAGATCTCAAGATTATGCAGTTGCTGACTTACTATAAAGCAGTGTAGTTACTCCACAGATAAAAACATCACTGTGATGCATCAAACTCAGCAGTGAAATATCCATGGATCTAATAATAAAGCACTCATTATCCTCAGCTGTCAGAACAAGATTGTCAACGTGAGACAGTAAACACAGGGTCATGATCTCATAGCAGAGATCCACACAACACCCCTTAATGACGGTCGGCATGCGGGGCACCGTAGAGCCGTTTGAGTGTGAAGCCCAAAACTGCTGTCTGGGCAGGCAGCTCACTTTTAAGATGCAGGCTTTCTCTTACTCATCCTGCGGTGAAGTTTTACTGCAGCATCTACTTCTCCAGCTAACGGCGACTTTACAGTGTATTAACGCGCCGCTTCAAGTTTAAACACAACCTCATATAGATTTAAAGCACAACCAAAAGGCTTCTAGATGTAAATAAACTTTGTGAGCACCTCGTGTGGGTGTGCGCAGGGCGTGTTTTCCTCTCGCTCCTGTTCAGGTCGAAGCACGCCGCCTCCAAACCACTCCATGTCGCTGCTTCAGCTCCGTCCTCCAGCCGCGGGGCGACTCCTGCTGTCTGTACAGCTTCAGATCCGAGAAGCACTCGCAGCTCAGGGGTGTGTAAGCGAGCACAGACAGTTATTTTCAGGTTATAACATCAGCACTCCTCTCTGCAGCTCTTTTTAGCTCCGTATGACAACTTCCGTGCTCTGAAGCACTCACTCATCACGTGATGGCAGACGCTAATCACATGATACAGTCCGAATACTATTTATTTATTTGATTTATTTATCTGTCTATCTACAAATGCCATATTTTAAATCAAATTTGTTTTATCTTATAATTTGTTTTTATATTTTATATAACTATTAAACTATTATATATATATATACACACACACACACACATATATATATATATATGGACATTTGTAATGTTATTTTCCTAGGTGGGAATATGATTTATTCCAGGATTTATATCATAAATGATATATGAATATGATTTATTCCAGGAACTTTTGAATAAAACAGATTCTGATTTGTTCACGGATTCATTCAAATGAATGAAGATTTGGAACAATAAAACATTTAATATAAAACTATTTTTTATGTTTTAATAATTGGTTGTGAAAAAATATTATAGAAAATGTATATAAAACTAATTCTTTTTTATAATTGGTTTTTAAAAAATCCCTTTTTTTTGTGGCTAAACTCAAGGTACTACAGAACTTTACATGAATTATATTCCTAGACGAAGTATCACTCTTCAACAAGAGGCTGTACACTGTCTTTATAAAATCTTCATAATGTAAAATTGGAAACAGGTCTCTTTTGAAGAAACATATGTATGATAAAATGTTAACAGTGCTGAACAGAAAAAAGTTTGGGTGTAGCAGTTTTGGGTGTAATAATAATAATAATAATAATAATAATAATAAGAAGAAGACTGTTATTATTATTAATATTATATTATTATGATGATGTTTTTAACATGTTGAGACTTAATATTATTATATTTTTATAACATTTTAAGACTTAAGTAAATAAAGGTCAGAAAATTAACTAAAGTTAAACTTTACTTTTTAAAAAATTAAAATCTTGTTACTTAGATTTCTTTCAAACTCTTTCTGAAATGTGCTGATGTCGAAGGCTATGTTGAAGGCTGCTTTAGCACAGCTGGGAGAATGAAGTGCATCTTCATACTGTTCAACAGATGGCGCCCAACTCCATTATGCTACTGATTTGTCATTTAATCACGCTAGAATCCTTGTGTCCTTTTGATTTAAAATGTTCATATTTAATGTTAGGTCGCATAATTATGGCATGCTGACAGCCTTTTTTCCTCTGCACTAAAATGAAAGTATTTCCAGCGAACTCGCGAGAATATTCGCGCGTCACATCGTCAGATGTCTATAGTAAACATTCCCGAATTTAATGGTTCCGCCCGGATATATGGAAGGATTATCCAGCAGACAGTTTTCTCGGTGGTTGACTTCAACATTATTTGAGTAAGTTGAATGTTCACAACTAACACTGACTCAGTCAGAACATGTAAATATGATCGTCTTGTTTTTAACACCAGTAGTTGTCAGCTTGTTTATATCTGTACGCTCATGTTTTTATGCTAGCACGCTGACATTAGCCGCCACTTAATCGCTGAAATTCACATTTTGTGATGCTGCGTGAACGAAAAACCCGAACAAATGTCTTTTTTAGAGTGTATTGGCTGTTCTCGTTTCAAAATATAGAAATTACGTCTTTCTGGGCGAAGTTTATGTGAAAGTGAAAGTACTTCTGATTTAATTAGTAATTTTATTCTTACCCAAAGTCTTAAGTTTGGTTTTCAACTTATAACGTTAGCTCCTAGTTAAAGGGGTCATATGATGTTGCTTAAAAGAACATTATTTGGTGTAATGAAATGTGTTTATGTGGTTTAAGGTTCAAAAAACACATTATTTTCCACATACTGTACATTATTGTTTCTCCTCTATGCCCCGCCTTTCTGAAACGCGTCGATTTTTACAAAGCTCATCGGTCTGAAAAAGCGAGGTGTGCTCTGATTGGCCAGCTATCCAGTGCGTTGTGATTGGCCGAATACCTCAAGCGTGTGACGGAAATGTTACGCCCCTCACCATATTATGATGAATCCGTGTATCATTCGATCATTCGTTTTTTGATTTAATATTGAAAGTAGAAAAATGTGAAAACGGCTCCTTTTTTCGTTTTTTTCCTGTTTGTTTGTTTAATTAAGAAATTAATTTGTTTCAAAATAAATATTTTAAACACTAAGACAAAAAGGAAAGAATAATAAATTGGCTTGGGTTGACCTATGTTCACGCAAGAACTGTCATTCTGACTGACAACCGGAGAACAACTGATATTAAATAGCCTACTGTTAGAGTAATATAATGTAGTCTTGTGTTTTATTCAAATT